AGGAGGAATTAATCTGTAGAGGCACGATCGTGGGTCCTCGATGAAATTCGTAAGCGTGTCGCGACTGCAAGGTATTGTTGCGAGGCTGCTTTGCAAGTGAAATACCGGGAACGCGCGCGTATCTACGGTCATTCGTCATGTTTTATCGGCTTACTTCGCGAATCAGTTTTAATACCTCGTCCCACTCGATCTCTTCGCGATATTTCATTCCGACGCCTGAATAACGAACAGATCTAATTCATTTCTTTAATGAACAACGAGTATAGAATTTCTTACCCCGATGTCGTCATATTTCAATACCTCGATCGAGAAATCAGATACTATTTTTAGGCTCTCCTCACAATCACTCATCACCAAAAAATCGCGAAATGGCCAGACGTCATATGATTCGAATGGTTTAAGTTTCAAAGAGGAGAACATTCACTGTTTTAAAAAAATCTAAGTCTAGTTATTAGGTACAAACGAATTAACCTGGTTCGACCACGATTTGGCCAACAGCAACAATGGCAAGCATCGAAAAATACCAAGCAGCGTTCGGTACTCACGAGATCCTCGCATATACACACGCATACGCGGGAACCGCATATTAGCCGCGCTATCTGCTTATCCGGAACGCTGTCCCATCCCGCCAAAGGTTAATTACTCCTATCCAATTAATGTTAATAGTATTACAGATCGCAGCCAGCATCCCTTACACTGTAATGCAACCAGTAATAAGGTGAATCGATCGTACGCTAATTAGTCGTGGCGATGCACGCGTAATTACTCCACGGTTTGTCCAAAAGCACGCGTAGACGCGAGAATTCATCGATCAGGGAGACGGAAAATGAGAAGAAAATTAGATTTAAAAAATCTAAGATATCTGATCGGTGCAATAATTCTGCCATTTACGTTATTATTGAGATGTCATGGTCATTTATGACAAAGTACGATGAAATCTGACTCGTCTCTAAAAATGAGGGAACGAACTTTTGCACTGACCTCTTACTCACACTTCAGCTTGTAGCCATTTATATTTTAGGCTGGTCAATCGCGAAACAAATTAAATTGAATTTTCCACCATCTGACCACCGCTCTTCGCGACGTTAGCTTACCAGCCTCTAATTGGACCATGTTTCGTGTCAACATCTGGTTCCGGAGCATGCGTGCTCACGCGGCCAAAGGTGGATTAACTAATTAGAATAGCGTAGATCCGACGTGGCCCGGCGATTAAGACGACGGTCCGCTTCGGTGCATAGTCGACGGGTCTCCGAAACTTAAGCGCGATGTAATCGTCTTAGGTGGGTAACGACCATCGGGACGGCTCCGCATTAATCTTCGACCGTGTCTGGGGCTGCTCGATATGCCACCATGAATCCTGCCGGACCGTACGAACCGCACCGACACGACGGCGCAGCATCCGCGCGGAACGGATTCTCCGAGCCAAGATTACCCTCTCCGGGCCAGTTACGCGACCGGAATTTGTATTGTGCTCGCTATAAAGTATTTGACGGCTTCTGTCTCGGACAGACCCGTGCAATTGCACGAATTCGATGGTCACATAAAGGTTTGCCGAACAGTTATAAGGACAGAATTGTGTATGGTTGTATGAACCCTTACATAAAGACAATGACAAAACAGTGAAATTTTAACAATTACTAGATATTACATTAATAGAACATTGTATGAAATTTTAGAAATTTTGCGAGTCTATTAAATAAGTCATTACATCTTGAATTCTCATGTCGAATGACAGAATTTTGTAATTTAGTATAATTCTTAATACATGATTTACGAATATTTTAAAATTGAAATAATGTCAATTTCGTGGATATTATTTAAAATATATAATAAAAAGTATGCTAAATTAAGAATTATAAGACATGTAGACAGCGACTAATGCAATTAAAAAAATTAGTGTCAAATAAAAATTCGTTCTACTTTTATTCTTTACGAACCTTGAGTCTTGAGATTTAAAGATTGCAGGCTCGGTGATTAACCCGCGTAACCCACTAATCGATTTTCAACCGTTGAACATGTGTAACCCTTTCGGTCACGTGAGTCTCCGACCAGTATGTTCTCACGAACTGACAACGCGACCCGGCGACGACGACGTCGGTCTTTTACGCCATTTTCGGCGTACGTGACGACATTACGTATACGCGATTTCTCGCGTATTTCCGAAAAGAATATTCGGCCGCGAAACGAGCGCCACATCTTCGGAATTCCACGGTCCAGAGGTAAATTCCTATCGGTGCGCGTACATCAAGATTCGCGATGCCCGTTCGCGGAAGAATTGATGCCACGGATAACCGTCGATTCGTGCGAATAATTGATTCACGAGTCTCTGCAGATATTGTGAATCGTGTAAATGAACGAAGTTTTAGAGTACGAACAATCAAGTGGAAATTATGATAGTCGAGTAATTAAAAGTTTCAATGCTTTACCATTATTCGTAATTATAAATGAGATTAAAACTTTTGGTAGAGACGGTCACTGATTTTTTGATAAGTACTTAGAAGTGTTTTAACGAAAGATTTGTCAAAAGTGGTAAACCCGTGGTGTACGTAAACGTATCCATTACCAGAGTTAATTACGACGTTAGTGCAGGTAATACCGTTAAATGCATTGTCCGGTAATCGCGGGAGTTCGACAAACTGGAAACGCGTGACCTTAGCCGAAGTTCCGTACCCTCGTTTGGTATTCATACGGCGACCCATGATATGCGGTTCCTTTTCGATTCCGGCTGCGAATATCACGTCCGAAGATGCGATAGATGGGACTGAACAACCGCTGGATCATGACCGATAAATCTACGGGCGGCCTCTATTAGAGGCGGAATCGTCCTGGAACCACCCCTTACGTCCGACACCTCGTTTCGAGACGTAACTGTTCGGCTTTACGATATCGCCTCGAAAACTTGGCGAACTAGTTCTCTTCGGATACCAATGGTAATTATGTTTTATTAAATTTGCGAAAATTATATCTAACGTCGACACGATGGACGAATTTAAACACTCGCTGATGTAATTACGCTCGGAAGACAATCATATTTTAAGAGACGTTTCACTTGCTCCGAAGAGGCAACGAAGAGATTATCTCTTCTTTACTCTCGTTTATGTCTTTTTAATAACTTTCGTGTCTCTCTCTCTCTCTCTCTCTCTCCTATATTTGGATTATTCGAAATTTACTACGCTTCTTGGAATCGTTCCCACTTTCGCTAAAGCTAACGTACAACGTATCATTTATCCTACACAACGCGGTCTCGAGAATAAACTCGTGGAAAAAAGAAAGCTTGCGAGATTTTATCCCATGAATTTACTTTCACTGCCCTCTTAACCGAGATCGTGTAAGCGATACATAGAACCAAAATAACAATTTACTGCAATATTTTACGTTCATTCGAAGTCTTACGATGCAATTTGAAACCAACGAAGGTAATTGAATGAAATAAAATAATCGGGTACATAATTTTTGAATCGCGTTAAAAGTTACGACGATTATCCGCGAGTTTGGAGGATGTAAAGAGACGAAGATAGCGAAGGTGGAAAGATAGTAGCTGGGAAACGATCGGGAACGGGGAAGAGAAACGAGGAAAGCAACGTCTCGATTTACGTTTTACGAAGTTAATTGAATGGGTCCTCTCTCCCTTGTCGTAAGCTCACTTATAACGACGGGGGCGGAACGGAGCCTATGGAAGCGCAAAATGGTTATTATCTCCGGCGCCGCAGACATAGCTGGCTGAGCTTCTGATTTACGAGCTGCCCCCTCGACTTAATCCTCACATCTACCACTCGTTCCGCACCAGCGCAACGCTACCTTCCCGATCAACTTGCAATTGCTCCAGAATCTTCAGACACCGAACACGATATTAACACGCCCGTTCATTTCATCATACGAACTATCAGCATATTTCCTCGACTCGTACTTTCGTACAAATGAAATTGACTCACGATCAGTTCGATGTGTCTTCTCATTTTAATAATTAGTTGGACGACGAATAAAACTGTTTTTTAATAAAAATTGTCCGTAGTTTCTACCCTCTCCCCTGATTTCCAAAGGTCATTTTAATCATTATTGACTAGATAAATAGGAAAAGACTCGATACGAAAGATATTGGACTAAAGAAATTTGTAACCGAGTTGCCAGCGAATTTTTCGTGCCCGAGATACAAGAAAGTTGTTGCGGTATCTCGGTGGCAGCCGCCGGCTCAAAAGTTGCAACTGTAATCAGGAAATTCCCCGGGAAGGGACTTACGGACTGTCTAAGGAAATTTCTTCCCCGGGTTGACAAATCGCGGGCATCAGGAACTCGTTCCGGGGGCTTACCGGTCTACCGGGTTTTTCCCGCCTCGCGTCGCGTTCGCTCGTCCGCGCGCGAAACAAACCGCTCAATTTGCGGTCCGGCGACCGAACGAATGACCCTCCTCCGAGTTTCAGCGAGTTTACGTATCGGTTCGAAGGGACTTATCCCGCGTACCCGGACCCCCTATCACCCTGGCCAGGATCCGTGTCCACAAATGGTGCCATTTTTCACCCCCGGCCGATCCGAGCCACCCCGATACATAGTAAGAAGATCGTTAACACGCACGATTGCGGTGTCAGCTTAATCCGACGTACTTAATACGCCCAATCGCGTATCGTTCCTTCCGTTTCACGCTCTTTTAAAATATTTCACGATTTCAGAATCATCTATACAGAATTTCAGAATTCCAGAATTAAGAACGAAACTTTTTATCAGAAATGATATTACGAACTATATTATGCGGTTATGAAATCATTCGATTCATCGAATGGATGAAATAGAGTTCGCAGTAACATCTTTTCACGAAAACAGTGTTGATACAACGTTGAAACCCCTTAATAAAATGAAGACGCTCGAAGGAGTATAAAATAGCAGGACTTGTGCCTGGATTATTATGTTTACCGTGTAAATATTGGCGCTTCCCGAAACGAATATATGAATTTTTATTAAGATTAACTTGTTTTTTTATTAGAATAAGGTTAGCTTATTTTACTCACAGAGGATTTCGAAGGTAAGCGATTGCCGTCTTCAGGCATTTGACAGACCTGTAAACAGGAACGATTTTCTATTAATAAAGACGGAAAGCTTTTTTCATAAATTATGGTCAATTACTTCTAAAATAAAAATTCTTAAATAAAATAGAATTGTCAATTTAAAAACTGAAATCTAATTTAAGATCTCTCTTAAGCCTTTGCACTCGTACGACTTCTAGAACAAATGCGAATTGTCATCTCTAGCATGACACACGAGTGCAAAGCGTTGAACAGTGATGTATAGACATGCATATTTTTTCACAAGAACGCATCAAATCCGCGGTCTATTGACAACATTTTTAATCACATAATTCCTTTATTAATTTCATAAAAGATCGTTTTCATTAGCGCACAAGTTCGATAATTAAAATAGAAAAAATCGTAAAAGAGAGCGAGTAAAAATCGATGGTTGTCAGTCACTTTTTATCAGCGAACGACAAATTCAAATTGGTTTTAACCGTACGCCTTGTTTCCGCAGCTTAATCGTGTTATATTGTGATAAGCTCTAATTCGATTTGCTCAATGCAATTTTACGAATCCTTTCGCAGACGTATGCACCTAGATCGTATCACGCTTGATAAGCACGCGCTACGAGTTAACTTTACTATCATAAAAATTGCCCACCGAAGTGATGAAACGGAACACTTCGTTAATGTTGAGGGGAAGGAAATCACTGGGGCTTCGCTTCATTCCGATTTCATTCTTTTCCGTAATTTTCTACACCATAATCGTCGACAGTCATAATTGCACGTACATCTTTTCTTTCACTTTCCAACTCAAAAAAGCTCTGGAATGTTTGACAAATTTTTGAAGTACACTTTAAAAATCTTTTGTTTATTCGAATCAATGAAATATTATATGTACTATAAAAATGATGGCACAATTCGGCACTCGTGGAAAGCGAAGTATTGGTTTTACAAACGAACCAATCCAATTCCCTTTTACTATCCGCAATAAAACCGGAAGAATACAAAAGAAAATCAAATCCAGGGTTCGTCGCGTTTCGAGACAAAATAAAAGTATCGTTCTAAAAGACAGCCAGCGGGTCAACCTCGTCACCGAAAATCGTCTTATATCAGCGCAGAAACTGGAAATTGAAGTCGGACAGGGAAGGTACCACCCACGGTATGTAGGCCACAGACAGCAATAACACTTCCCAGCAAATTCTTTACATCGACACCATTACTCTTACTCTATCGACGGTATATACGTTCCCCCCTTGTTCGAGTTTTCGAACGAATAATCAAACAGGAAATTTCTTATGCAAATGAGAATTAATCGAGATGGTTTAATGAAATGAGGATGATCGAAAACAGATCTCATACGAAATTTCAGTGCATTTAGAACAGTGCAGAAATTTAATCGTCGATGAAGTTTGCTTATTTTAGCTGATAAAAATTTCTGCAAGGTCTTATTTATCGAGACGTTCGTGCAAACTTTTGTACATTTTAATACAGCGATCGAACGACGCCTTCTTGGAACCGTGAAATCGATCCTCGATTTTTCGCTGTCCCTCTCCTCGGTTATCGCGACCCGCGGTATACAACGCAACCCCTTGGCCCCGGGTTGGAATGTAATCCAATCGAGGGCAGAACGGTACGTAGTTCTTTTACGGTGCAAAGAATACGAGCGAAGCCATGGGGCAAAGCGTGTACAAAATGCTATCTGCTATTCGAAGAAATACGGCTGCCGCCGAGAGAACACTTGGCGGAATCGATAAGATGCCAGGGGAAAAGGAAAGGAGGACGGGAAATAGGGTTAGCTATGTACGCGATGCTGGTTAATTTCCAAGCGGCACGTTGTATGTTAAATAGAGTGCACGTCACATCTATTAATAGTCGGTATATTTCGTCCAAGAAAATGAAACACCGAAAACTATTTCTTAATAAAGAGAACCAGGTTGCTTCTGTTTGTTTCTCCAGCAGCTTTGTAACGACTGCATCGAGCGTGTTTCATGAACTCCAAGCGAGGTGGTGTTGATTTTAGAGAAAGGAAGAGCAAGTAACATAAAGGATTGTCCTCTTAAATAAAGAACGTACGGTCACCGTAAACATAAGCGATGACAGCAGCTAGATGAAATCTTCTGAGTACTCGTAAAAGCACAATTTTTAATACTGTTATAAACTTATATTAGAATTCTTCATCGTAGTAATCGTAAGATTGATTTTAATAGCTACGCGAGTAAATACTATGTTTCAGCCATAAGGTTAGAAGGTATAATAAAATACTTAATAACGCTGATATCTGTTAATATTCAAGATTTTTATGTTTCATCAACAAATTTTCATGTCGTTGTTATTCCTATTCAATTTCGTATGTTACGACGCTTCTCCGGGAAACTAACCCAGATCGATTTTAAATCTGTGCATTTTACACGTGAATGAATGGGAACTCGAAAACTCGTATACTCGTCCCTTACGCAAACTCGGGTCTCCATTTCACAATCCAATGGCCAACGTACGTACGTAACTACATAAATCGGTTGAAAGGTCACCGAATGGGAAGCAAAAGTTCATCCGATGGAAAGAAAACGGGATCAAGTCGTGAACGCGTGTACCTATTATACCTGTGCAGTTACGTACGCTGCAGCTCGAAACTGCCATTTCTGGTGGCATAGAAATTATTGTCAGTCAATGCACGCGACACTACGTCAAATATTGTATCAATCGTTGTTCGAGGCACTGTCAAATATTGTATCAGTTATTTTACGAAACACTGTATCGAAAATTGTATCAAATATCGTAATATAATTAAAACGGATGAAATTGAATGAAAGTCGTTAACGATTTAATGAATTGTTTTATTAGAACGAAGAAAGTGTCCACGGTGTTTTGAACAGCAGTGTGGGTACTCGCTCGCGATGGGCAATCGGTATCGAGTGCAATTTCAAGCGGTCGTATTTCTTTGCGCCGTGGCGGTGTGCATGGAAATCCGAGCGATGCGCTGCCGACTTGTCACGCCTGCAACGTCGGCTCGTAATGTTCGCGATTTAATAACGAGTACAGGCCGGTATTGATCCCCGCGGGAACAACGCTCGACAGCGGCTAGCCTCGCTCGCTCGACCACGCTCAATGCTCAACTTAACTCACTGTCTGACGCGATAATTAGATACGCTGTCCCGATAACAACGATATCGGTCAGTTCTTTCCACTGGTTTAAACGGCAGTCTAACGAGGCATTCGATACGCCTAGACTTCCTATCTACACGTGTGGTCTGAAGTCTTGCCAATTTATACAATGTACTACTGAATAAAACGGGGTAGAATCGACAAAATTTCTTAATGAATCGTTTTCAAGAGTATCTATTACGAAAATTGCTAAATTATTAATAAATGAACGCAAAAAGATTTTGCCATTTTTATTTCACAACCCTTCGCCAAATGACGTACCAAGCCTTAGATCACTCGAATGAGCTTGAATGATAATCGATAAATTGTAGAAGAACAGATATTGAAAGTCGAACCAGCGTTAATTTTTCGTCAGACACAAAAGTCCATAAGGTGTAGGTCGATAGGTCTAGCTCGGCTGTCCTTTTGCAAACGACGATTTACACTCGATTTACGTGGAACCGCAACTGAACAACGAAAGCTGGAAAATCGGCGATGCAGCTTCAACAAAATGGAACGTACCGTATCTGCAACAAGCATGATGGATTGCCTGGATGACGCACAATGCGGATCCTTTCTGTGAAAATGCATTGTGCATTTTCTCGTACGCATCTGGCTCCGATTGTCTGCTTTACCGGAATTTTACTATTTTCGCAACTCGACTTTTCTCGGTTCTAAACATTCGACCGTATGCCCTATTCATCGTTTAACTGCGAGCCTCGACGGTAGGACAAATTTTTGAATTGTTAACAATTTCAACGATGGGATGAAAAGAGGCTACAGCTAACAATAAGACCGACGGCATCGTGTATGATATCTACGCGATAAAGCCGAGCTTATTACTCGACTAAACGATGTCAAACTGTGATAACGAGCATGCTTATACACGTTGTAACATTCTCGATTTTTAAAGAAGACTTGGGAAGACTATTTACGACAGGTACAATAAAAATGATCTCTAATCAGTGATATAACTTCATTTTGCTTGAGATATGAACGAGGAACATTTTCGATAAATGAAGTTATATAATTCGATATTTGAAGATAAATAAATCTGCACCAAGGGTATAAGGAACGATTTCATTCATTATAGAAAGGATCTACGCCACATCTCCGTTCATGGTTCTGCTCATGAAAATTTTCGAAAGATAAAATTATCATGCAATCGCACTTTGAAGATAAATAAATCTGCAACGACGGATATAAGGAATGGTTTCGTTTCCTCTAGAAAGAATCTACGACAGATCTCGGTTTATGCTCCTACTTTATCGTCAAACGCGATGTTGAAAATGGGTTTCTCCGGAGAAGTTTGATCTAACACCTATAAGTAAGATGCAACGAGGCTAACGGACCAAAGTCTAGACGCTGGTTCTCATAAAACTTTTACCGCCAACAGGAACGCGTTACCGACAAGGCGATAATACGCGTAAAATCAAAATCGATGGGTTACGGAAAATCGATTTATCGTACCCGATAACTCTTAGAAGATCAACACGCAAAGGGAGCTGTACAAATTTCCGGACGGAACGGGAATCTAGTTACAACTTCCACGAGTATTGTACGCGTCAAAAGTGCGTCACATATAACGCTGTTAATTAGATTAAAGTTCAATTGGTTTCTCGTTAACGTCGAAACTTTTAAAACACGAGGCGAGGTACAAAAATTAGTTATGAAAATTGAATTGAAAAAAGTGAAACGAAGTACGACGTGACGCCTGACAATTTTTCACGTAGACAAAAGAAACGGGTGATCGAATTATTAACGAAACACTCAAAAAATAGTTATTTGTAACTCTATCGAAATGAAGCAATTCTCAGGTATGCACGTAGCCCCGGTAGAAGCCGAGGATCAATACCGTGGACGCGAGCAGCGGCGGTCGGGAACAAAGAACACGGAATGGGACAT